AAGCAGATTCTCTGTGCCTTGAAACACTGAATCAAGTCTCGCTTTTTAATGGTACGAAACTGTGGAGTTCCTACACCAGGTCCTCCGACAAAATCGATATCCAGGCCGATTGGTGATCCTCGTCTGCTCAGTCATCGAGATGTTAGAGTGCCAGTCAGTTCATAAGGGTTCTTTCAGTTCAAGTGGAAATCACGTTTTAAACGACCGAAACAGCAACATTCAATGTTATTGTTATCTCGATAAAAAAAGACATTCTGTGTAACTTTTTCTTCCAACGATCGGTCCACGAGAAACAAACGTCTTTCACAAGATTCATAAAAATGAATGAGANTGAATGATAGTGTAAATACAATAGTCACGCCCACCATAAATAATTAGCACTACCTTACAGAAGAGTCTTGCACTAAAATGACACCTTCGAGGAAAGTCGTTCAACAAGTACTATCTGAATGCTTCGGTAGTTTATTCGATTTCAGGTCAAAAATGAGGTGACGATGCAAAGATTACTAATGGTAAAAATAAAGCTGAATCTCTTAGAAGGGCATGAAATATCCACGTTGGTGTTCGCTCGATAGCGACAGTCAACTTGTGGCTTAATGTGGTTTTGGAGTGGTAATCCTTTCTCATTGAATGGCATGCCAATGAGTAGCGGTTTGGTTCTAGGAAACAACAGTTAAAATTTCGCGATTTATCCAAATAGGATAACGTTGCCTTAGTGATGGAGTAGAAAACGAAAAAAACGTACCAGTTCTTCACTCAGTGGTTCCCGTTCACGGAAACCCGAAGGTTCATCTTCATCTCCGTGCAAGCGGCCACCTCTACGAGGACCCGAAGCATAGAACGAGAAAGACGAAGCCACAGAAGACGAAGAAGAACAAGAAGGTGCCTCCGGTTTCACTGAGTAAGACAGTTCGGTATCGGGAACTTTTGCAAATGCCTTGATGACCAAATGAGTTTCGCCGGGTCTATGTGATGGACCACACGATAACAAATCGTTCACAACATTCGGCTGAACTCGAGCGGACCAGACAGATGAATCCTCGTTCGATGATGAATGCGCATGAAAAACGGCTCCGGGTAATAAGCGACAAGCAACACCACGAAACAAACATTCCTCCATACTAGGTGACAAACTGAGTGAGTTGATCGTCGTTGTCGACACCAAGCGATGCACGCGCAACACAGGGCGAGAAACTCCGATACATTCCGTTGATTTTGGCACGTCCACGAGGCCGTTCAGTGCCCAACTGTGAAAACTGAAGATAAACAAGAATAAATCTTCACCATTGTAGGACCACTTGTTCGGAGTGAGAACGGTTTGGTTTAGTTTCAATAGGTGCAGTCAGTTATCGTGCGCCTCAATGAGCTCGTTTGCATGCTACATAGTAGTTGTCAAAATGATCGAACGATAAAGATAATAAAACGGATACAGAATGCGAGCGAACACAAAACAGTATTCAGCAATGAATTTCAATTCATGAGAAGAAATTCGATCATTGCTACAGAGGAAATGACAAAATCGAGACCGGTTTTCGTGGCTGGCCTCTGACTGCCCATTTGGATGAATAAAAGAAAAATTAGGAAAGCTGGAGGTAGAGTCGAACAGAAAATGAAGAAAATTAGTGGTCTAAGTTTGAAAACAAATAGAGAAGATGCACGAAGGCCACCGTTTAGGATACACAGTCAGTCCTTCAGTGTCTCTATCGGGTACAATCATCCCGAGGCCCCCATCCTACGGAGCCTCACGGGACCTATGTGACCCAGAATCCTGGTTAGGGTTTTCATATCCTCACGCCAGGTCTTAGCTTGACCCATCTTGACTTTTTCCACCCACTGCTTGCCTTGGTGAGCATCGCTCGCCGTGGTAACCTATCTCGTGACATGCGTAACACATGCCCCAATCAACGTAATCTATGGAGGTAGACCACTTGCCCCAGTGGACGACCGCGGATACCCAATCCTCTACGCCTAACCTAAGCATTGTTCGCCCGGCTACCCCACCAGATTCGTGCAATGCTACTTAGACAGCGCCGGTTTTGGTTGCTGTCTTTTGGCTGTCCATTTGGATGAAGAATAGAAGAAAGGAAAGTTGAAAGCGGAGTCGAACAGAAAATGCAGAAGTTCAGTGTTCGAGACAACCGGATGTCGCGACGGCGCCACAAATGTCTCAAGTTGGCAAACGCCAACCGAGCATTCTGTATGCGAGCAGACACTTCATCCGTGATGCGTCCACCGGGTGAGATGTAGCTGCCCAAATAACAAAACCTATCCATCTGCTCTATTGCTTACCCAGTTAAAGTGAGGCAGGGCGCTGGACCGACCCGGTCTTGTAGTAACATTTTACACTTTGAAGGTGCAAAACGCATACAGAATATGGCTACGCCGGCATCCAAGTTATCCAGAAATGCTTGCAACCTACCTGGATCCTCACAATGTCGTCCGCGTACTCTAGATCAGACAGCCTGTCTCCTGGGAGTAAATCGATACCGCTATCCTCGCACGAGGATAGGGCTGTTTCCATAATCAAATCTATAACAAAGTTGAATAGAAAAGGAGAAAGAGGGCAACCCTGACGAACAACTTTTTCCGTGGTGAAATCGGGCGAAAAAGTGCCGTAAGCCCGGACTCGACTTCGGCTATTAGTGTGAGGCGATCGTAATATTGAAATTAACTTCTCGGGCAAACCTTTCAGAGAAAAGCAGCGCCAGAGTTTAGAGCGGTCGACTGAGTCGAAAGCCGCTTTCAGATCTAGGAAGACAGAGATGGTAGGTCTACGAGTTGACCATCCGGAAAGGCATCAGAAGGGTGCAGACCTGTTGCCTTATATCAATAACCATTTGTTCAAAAATATGAAGCAAACATTTTCTCACTACTGGGTACGCAATCTCAGCTAAATGTGCAGGAATCCAGCCAATGTGAGTACCGCGACTCTCGTTCCAAACTAGATTCCCAAGCTTCTCGGGTCCACCATATTCAATGAGCACTCGATGGAAATAAGAAAGCTGTCAAAATGTTTCTTGGATTTCTTCGACTGTGCTGACAGTTTAAAGTTATTGAATATTTTGTCTTCCAGTGGGATATCGCATACCATAACTGCGGTACTTCAAAAATCGATCGCAGTTCACACGTTACCTCGATCGCTCCTACTCTCCCCTAATTTCTACACTGGGCGTACTATAGGGTGCCATTCTGTTCGCGTTTTCTTTTCCACTTATATTTCATCCAAGTCTATTTTCGAAATTCCCTGACCATTAAATACTGAGATATTGTAATCGGAATGACCCACTCTGATGCATCTGTCACCACGATCTTTCGGATCTGCCTTACTAACTTTGCTGAGTGGTTCACTACACATAGCTCTCAGCATATCGATGTGTCAATATGCTGTTCTCACTTCTCAAAGGGAACCTCTTTGAATCTGGTACCTCGGCAAACATGCATGATGATACGATCATCCAACCTTCGAATATTTGGTATCGCGCTGTGTTAATCTGCCCACATTTATGTTGACTTGACCCAGTTATTTTTGCAATCAGAAAGGTCAGACACTTATCATTTCATGTCCTATGCCTGGAAATTTTACTTGTCCAATGGTGCTTGAACAGCTGTTTTCTTTTCGCCTGTATTTCGCCCCTTTCGATGTACGGGTGCTCTATAATCTTCCCAGGGGTGCTCAAGAAGGACTTCAAGTTTCTTTCTAGATCCTGAGCCCATCTATCCAGAGGTAGAGAGATTTCCCGTGAAACTCTGGTATTTCATCATTTCATGATATACCAATTCATGCCTGTCGTCAGCCACAAAAATCATGAACTTTTCACTCCCATTACAAGTAGATTTTAAAAT